TACTTTTCCAAATGTAGGGAGTTTTTCTTTTCTGAAATAAAGGGAAACGTGCCTTTCACTCAACTGCACAGTTTGTGCGATTCTGCTGATGGGGTTGACTTTACTCTTAATTTCAAACCACTGCAACACAGCTCAAGAGTAGTGAGTAAAGAAGGTGCAGTCCTATTTTCACAAGTAACTGGATATGATCTGTTTTCCCCAGATAAATCAGTGCTGTTTGTGTAGCTGCTTTGGGAATGTGGGATTGTAAAGCTAAAAAATTCAGTATTGTGGCAAACGTCAGCCTTCATGCCATTTAGGATAAGGATTTTCAAGCCTGTTCTGTACCAGGCCTTAATCAAGTTATTCTGAATGTAAACAAACGTTTGTTTGAGTTCTAGTTTTAGCTCAGTCACAAGAGAAATAATACTCCTTAAAGGCAAGTTGTTTGTTTTTGTGAACCATCCTAAGTGCTCTGCTGAAGGGTGGTATAGAAATGTTTTCAGTCAAATAAAATAGAGGACAGGACAGGGCCACCCGAGACAGTCGTTACCTGAAATATTAGGGAAACTTAGTTGTGAATTGAGATGTCAAATAATGTCTTAAGTCATCTGGAATCCCTGCGATCTCTTCCCAAAACACTGAGAGGATTATTTGGGAAGTTTTGCAGTTGCTCAGAATCTCTATAAATATTACCCTGCATGAAATTTTACATATATGTTCCTACCTTCATAGTTCTGTCTTTTCTTGAAGATAAGCCCTGTCCTTTGAATCTAGCCTCCCTATTTCCAGATAGAGAGATGGATGTCCAAGACTTGGTGCAGATCAGTGTTTTTTGCAACATAGGATTCTGAGTGCATATGCAGGGGTTTGATAGCACCAAACCTCTAAACAGAGGTGTTTTCTTCCTCAACAAGGATCGTAGCTTTTAGATTTCTCTTCCTTCCCCCAGCTTGCATGTCTCTATGCACATTTACAGACAGTACTGCTGAAATATTAAATTCAATAATAAGGGGTTGGGTTGTCGAGCGTTTTTTGTTTTTAAATAAGAATGCTTTTTTAATGTGTTTGTTTATAAAGCTAAGTCTAGGAATGAACTACATCCATGTTTTAGCATTTGAGATCCAACCTTTTTGTTTTTTCCTCTCTCAAGCATGCCAACTCCCTTGCTTTGTTCTAAAGACCCTGGCACTGGGATTGTTTCTGTTCTCTGCAGGAACCAGATGAGACCCAGTACAGCTGATGGGTTCAGAACACACAGGGTGAGACCTGAAAGTCATTTTGATTGTTTATGCTTTGCAGGAACAACACAACAAACGAAACGTCCTGGAATGCCTTGTTCTGTGCAGATTCCATTATAGAATGGAATCTACCCAGTAATAAAGTTCTTATCTGCTTCCATGATTGATATTTGGGCACTGGCCACTTTGCTTTCAACTTTGAGTGCCTGCCTATTAATATGAATGTCATCTACTTTTATTAACCAATTCATGAATTTCTGTATCCCCCAAGCAATGTGTAATGTAGGAAATGGATGCCTCATGTTTGGATTCACTCACCTAATTTAGACAGCAGCATAAACTGATTGCGTAGTTGTGTTGCTTTGCTTGTAATTGAACCCACACTTAAATCTGTGGTGAGAGTTGGCAGGAGTGGGCTTATCAATATAAGTTAGGGTGCAAATTGGGCAGGTTCGCATGACCACTTGAGTTTGGGGCAAACAGTTCTATTCAAGTGACATTAACAATTCTATACACTGTGTACCAGATATTCTCAATTTTTCTGCCCCTGTGGCCCTTGGGAGGATTGAAAATTACAGAAGTCCTCCAACCACAAAGTGACAGGGCAGGGTGAGTGGTGAGTGGAGGCAGAGTTTACATAATCAGCTGACAATTACCAACATAATTTTCTGTTGACATATGATCATTCTTTGGAAGTTCTCTAAATTCTTTGAGACAGCAATTTCCATGTCTTATCTATCTATCGTCTATCTATCATCTATCATCTCCTCTGCAGAGGACAAGCCTCTGTTGTGAAACACAGCAGTGCAGTCCTACCATTAAGTCCTGCTGAATTCAATGGGATTTCCAGGTAATGGAGGTTAGTTAACATTTGCTTTTATGTTCTTCTTGTGTGCTTTTCTGGGGGAAATGCTTTGACACCCCCAGATGTTTAGCAGTGCAGGACAGAGGAAGGAGTGGTTAAGAGGTGCATGCCATTGCTTAGTTCCACCTTCTCTCTTGGACCCCATCCCATCCCCTGTGATCACATATCCACCCTGCCTTTCTTGTTTCTGGTACCCAATGTCAGGTTGCTCTTCTGTGATGGAGCAGGGAGCTATTGCACCTGGACTCAGCCAGCAGGAGACCAGAATGGAAAGAGTAGTGGGTTGTGGGAGTGGGAGTGAGTATGTGAATCAAAGGTGTTAGAAGACACAGCAGATGTCCCAGGCCACTGCGTGAATGGTGGCCTCCATCCTGCTCTTTAAATATGGAGCAGGGCAGGAGTGTCAAATGTTGGGACAGTGTATTTGCTTATCCTAGTCATGTATCTTAGAACTCTCCTTATAGACATATGAACTGTGTATCCTGCGACCGTGTGCTGATTTCTTAAATAAAGCTTTCTGGTTTCTGAGTACTATGTCTGAGGTTGGGAACCAGGGCACTCTTTTAGTCAGCTACTTGATCTATCCATCAAAAGGTCCATATATTTCATTCCCCCATCCCCTCCGACTTCACATGCTCTCTAACCAAATCCCACTGTCATGAATGTGGCTAGCTCTTGGTGCTGGCACTGGTCCAACCAAAAGCCTATGTTATATGAACGGGGCATTGCAGGTAAGTGAGGAGGCACTGGGTGGAGGAGGCTCACTAATGGCCCATGGCCTACCATTTGAGAAAGCTGCCATATGCAATTTCCATAGCAGCAGCCAGGTAGTATCAGTGGCTGGGACAGATTTGACACTTGCTCCCTGTAAAAAACGATTGATCACTCCAGAGGCAACTTCTGGAATGTGTGTTAGTTCTCAGTGCAAATTTTCTCCAAATTGTGATTAAGCAGCTCTTTGGTGTCACCTTTAACTGCAGTGAAAGTTAACCTCCATTTCAAACTGGCAAAGTTTGAAATAGGTTTTAGATCCTGTTTTAAGGGGAGCAGTGATCAACAGATGAACTGCTAAAAGGAATTTGAGGAGGAAGGGGAGGGTGGAATTTGCTCTGGAGAGATGAGGGGCTATGAGGAAGGAACATGTGTTCCACAGGCTGGGTGGTTTATGATAATAGTGGGTTAGCAAGGGGCCAACATTTCATCTACACTGGCCTTTTAAACCTAGACCATGTTGTTCTTTTGCTTTATGTTAAGGGTACATTTCTGGATTCACTTACTCGTTTTATTTTATTTTTAAGAACAAAAGTGTTGCCCGTTACATGCATAAAATGCTGTTGAATTTTGCATGATTTATACGAATACATAACTGGATTATAGCCAGAATCTTGAGAGCTCCAACCTAGCTTTAAAACATTCAGTTTGGCTATAAGCTGGAACTTTGTACTATCCAGACTTCTCTGTACAGCCTTTGCTATGTTTGAAGGAATGCAGTCTTTCTCCTTGAAAAAAAAAATAGATTGCTCTTCATGCAGTTTTTCACAGCTGTAAGGCAAAACATGGCTCACTTTTGCTCTTTTTTTCTTAAGTTGATATTCTTGTTCTCCCCTCCCGACAAAGCCATATAAACATTATTGCTTCTAAAAGATAACAAAGTTTTGATTTGTCACTGTATAAAGCTTAGGGATTTCAGATTTATCCATAAAATTAATTTTTCAACAACTGTTCCCCCCCACTCTCTCTCATATAGTAAACTAGTACTGAGGCTGACTGAAGATGATTCATTGGTGGAGACCAATTTTAGTCGCTGGGTCTGTGTGAGTTTCATCTGCACTGGCCTTTAGGGCACAATTGCTTATTTTTAGAGGCTATTTTTAGTTCCACTGTGTTACTGTAAAAGGCAATAAAAAATACCAAATGTTAAAGATGGCCATCCTTTGTAGCTTTAGTTTATAGAAGTATATGTCGTCTTGGATGCCCTTCAGAATGTCAAAAGGAAAGATGGGCTGAGGTGTTTTGTCACATGCAAATTTATTAAATGTATTAAATAAATTTAATTGGTTAAAGGGCAGACGATAAGACTTTTGGCATTTTGCACTGTATGACTACATACATCAATCCAGATTTACACTTGCTGTCCTTTTCCACTTCAGTCTGTAATCAATGGAAATGTAGACACCATCATCAAAGATGAAAGATGCCTCTATCACTCACTTTCACTATGAGATTGTAAACGTCTATGGGTTATATCCAATGAAGTTGTCCCATTAGCTCAAGAACTTTGGTTTGTGCAATGGAACTTCCTTTCCCTCTCCTCACCTTGTGTGCTTCCCTAATTATTCTCTGGAGAGTAGGGGGAACTTCCAGAACAGATTTGCTGGGGTTCATGGAGGTGAGGAGAAGGAGGGGGAAGCTTCATAGCACAAGCCAAAGTCCTTGCAAATGGAACAACTTGGTTGGATACAACTGCAGATTTTCATCTCTATCTTTAACATGGGGAATTAAAAGTTCTTTCCTTCAAAGTACCGTAGGTACAGATAAATAATTATTGAATGTTACAATCCAGACACTAAAACAGGGGTATCCAATGTAGTGCCTTCCATATTTTTTGAACTACAACTCCCATAATACCTAATCATTGGCTTTGCTGGCTGGGGATGATGAAAGTTGTAGTCCGGGAACAGAAAGGCTATCACTGCACTAAAGCAACAGTCAGTTTGCTTGGTTCTTGGTTGTTCATGTCTTTCTTAATATCTGTTGTGCATGGACACTTAACATCCTGACCATTTGCTAATCTCTAAACCATGAGTTAGTAACCTGTGACCCAAGGATGAGAGGATAGGAAAATTCCTTATACTAAGTCAGACCACTACGGTGACTGCAGCATCTCTTCATGGTTTCATTTTCCCAACCCTGCCTGGAGATGCTAGGGATTGAGCCTGGACCTTCTGCATGAAAAACAGATGTTCTGCTACTGAGCTATAACTTTATCTTTGGTCTAATTTCATGAAGCGTGGCAAGGGGGGGGTGGAGGGCAAGCAGGTGGCAAAGGGAGAGAGAAGTGCCTTTTCATTTTGACCCTGCCCAGTGACTTTGGCCTTGTCCACCACTAGATGGATTCACATTTAACTGTTTTGGAGTGGTTCTTTTACTCCTTAATTTCTCCCCTAACATTTTGCTGTTCTGCAAACTTTACCCAGGCCTGCTGATACCACCCTCTTGTGTGTGTGGGGGGGTGATAACAAGTTTGTTGGTGTGTGAGGGAGGGAGGGAGGGATGGGATGATATCCTTTTCCCATCCCTGTAGCTTGGAAGAGAGTAGCCTACAGTGGAATCCCAGCTGCAGCAGAAGCCTGAGCTAGGTTCCTGCATATACAAGAGGCGTATGATACTTTAATAGTAGCTGTCAGATAACATTAGGACATTGTTGTCACAAATAAATCGAGCAAGAGCTACAAGCTACAAGAAGCCAACTGAGCAGATACAAAAGGGCAAGTTTGTCCATTGGTATTCACTAAGGCTACAGAGAGAGCTGCCTGCTCAGCTGATTGCTGGTTTTACTGTTTGAAGTTTCAGAGCATGAACTGGTAGAATCACATTTATCTACCAATTCATTTTCTTTTCTAAATTGTCATAAGTTCAGTTAATGATTTTTAAAAGTGAGGGTATGTTTGCTCAGCTCGTGTAACTACTGGGCATGTATCTGAAACAAGCCACTCAAATAGACTTTCCTTTATAGAATCTGACCTTAGAAACCCTTCCTGCTTTCCCTATTTAATGGGCACAGTATTCTCAACCCTGCATAGAATTGGATGCTTTGGGAGGAATGGAAGACCACACTTAGGCAAACTTTTTGGCATGCCAGACTCCCCTCCTTCAGTCTTACCATAGTTTCCTAGACAAAAGGGGTTTGGAGGCAGGGTGCTAGGGTGGTGCTAAAAAATGGCAGTGAGGCTGAGCAGTTTGGTAACACACTATAGGAGAGTCTCAGTCATTACCGACCTTCGAGTTGCAGACCGGTTTCTTTAGTTTTAGACTTCTTGTTTTTTGAAAATGGAAGTATTTGTGAAAAATGATCACAGTGGCTATCTTTAGAAACAATTAATCTGATATATTTAGTTCAGGTAAAAGATTCATTTTGCTTTATTATCCCACTGGTAGAAATTCACATTTAGAATCAAACATTCATAGAGTTAAAGTTTGCAAATACAAAGCTTAAAAGTAGAAGCTATTTTGCACTCTAGACTTGCAGAAATACCAGCACTTCAGCATTTAGCATTTTGAAGTCTATAGTACAAAACTTCAGATTGCAGAATTGAGGCTTCAGAATGTTATTGCAGAATTGACATAACTATAAGCTATTTGTACAATCCTAAATGGAATATGACACCCTGAATTCAGAGACTGCATCTAATTCAGAATTCCCTTTACATTTTTGTTTCAACTGCAAAGGAAAAGTAGACAGTTAAATTCACATTGTTTATGAACATCTCTTAGTGACTTTTACTCTTTTAGTACAAAAAAGTTAGAATGTTATACCCAGTTTGAGTTTTTGCAAGTAGTCTCCCTTTAAAATTCATCTAATTTACGATGACTGACACATTCCTTATATTCCTCATCTGACAACTCTTTTGTGTCATGTTCAACTGCTAAAAGATTTATTGTACATAATTTGACAGGCTAACGACCAAATAGGAAATCATGGGACTGTTAACACTGTTCTTGAGATAAAATTGACTTTCTAGCTCTGTCGGTTAAAATATGGGAAAATTTATGCTTTTGAAAATCTTTTAGAATTTTAAACAATGTTTTCAGTCTCAGTAGTGATAGCACCTCATGTTAGACTCAAAATGCACGAGGCAGATGTAATTTCTAAAGACATTCTTTTTATGCTCACAGTGTTCACACAGATCATCCTTTCCTGATGGGGACCACCTGATCTGTTTTGTTGACACAGTGAATGTGGGATACTCTTAAAAGTTGAGGCCCCAATTAATCAGCTGCCTGGATTTAATGTCACAATACTCTGTGACATCAAAGGGTATGAAGTCAATAATCCTTTGTCTGCCTTTGTCACAGCTGTCCTGATGCAAGAGAGGAGTATTAGTGCCTAGAACAGTGATGGCCAAACTTGGCCCTCCGGCTGTTTTGGGACTACAACTCCCATCATCCCTAGCTAACAGGACCAGTGGTCAGGGATGATGGGAATTGTAGTCCCAAAACAGCTGGAGGGCCAAGTTTGGCCATCACTGACCCTAGAAGAAGACAGGTGAGTATTTTAAGGGCAATGAGAAACTTTTTGACTCCTAATTCCAGCGCCATGAGCATCTTTCCCTAGTTTAAGTAATCTATTCACAATACTAGTTGTGGGTTCTGTTGTATTCAGCTCACAGTAGACCCTTTGAAATTAATGGACCTAACATACTCATGGGACATGTGTGGCACTATGGTCTAAACCACAGAGCCTAGGGCTTGCCGATCGAAAGGTTGGCAGTTCGAATCCCCATGACGGGGTGAGCTCCCGTTGTTCAGTCCCTGCTCCTGCCCACCTAGCAGTTCAGAAGCACGTCAAAGTGCAAGTAGATAAATAGGTACTGCTCCGGCAGGAAGGTAAACGGCGTTTCCGTGCTCTGCTCTGGTTCACCAGAAGCGGCTTAGTCATGCTGGCCACATGACCCAGAAGCTGTATGCTGGCTACCTCGGCCAGTAAAGCAAGATGAGCGCCGCAACCCCAGAGTCATCTACAACTGGACCTAATGGTCAGGGGTACCTTTATCTTTAACATACTCATACTAATTTCAGTACGCAATTTCCAGACACTGGATAGACCTTTAAGTCCTTTCTGGCACAACAATAGACAATAGGTACAAAACAGTTCAAGAAATAGCCATCTTTGAGAGATTAACAAATAAATTATGCTAATAGAACTGGTTACCTAGCGCTACATTGGGTACAGCACCAAGACTCTGGGAGCAGCTATAGGCTACCACTAACATGATGAGAAGGCATGTGACTGCCACCTTAGGCTAAACTAAGGTCTGGACTAGACAAATAGCATATCACATGGTAAACTCATTCTTGGACTACTTCATATAGTAGATGTGGGCACTCAGAAAACATAGGCAATTGGCATGTCAGGGATGTGTTTAAGTTACTCTGAAGGCATGTGAGGCCTTGGTCCTCAGGGCTTAGACGAGAGACCACCTGGGAATCACATGTATACCCTGTGTTCCATAACAGAAGAAAGGTGGGATATTAATGTAAATAAAGAATACATTTCCATGGCATCTGGTTTCCTCTCTGCACGGATTTGTTTATTTTAATTGGGGAGGAGCATTCAAACATATTGCTCCCCACCAAGTGTCTACAGTGGTGCATGTTGGACAGTTTGAATAGACTACCTATGTTTATAAGAGTAAATGTCATAAAAACATAGTTATTGCACACTTCTCCCCTAATCTTTGCGTGTATTTGTCTGCTCGGTATCATTCTTCATTAATCAAAAAATAAAATCTGCACATATTTGAGTATGTAAAGTTCTGTCTTTATTGCTTAATTAGCTCTGCTATGCATGCCTCCTCATTATCACTGTTGGAAATAGAACCAGGTCTGGTGTATCTGGTGAGCATCAGCTGTCGAAACAGAGTTGAAAGCCCGCAGAAACAGCTAATGTCAAAAGTGTTTGAACTACGACACGATTCTTGGCATGTCTTACACATGTCCTAATATGCCTTGATTTGGCAAGGGGCCTGAATATGTTGTGTCCAGCCAACCATGCAAAACTGCATCACTTTTTGGAAATTATATCCTTTCTCTTGCTTCCAACTCTTCCACTTGCTGCTAGAATCTTATCTGTTGTCTTTTTAAAAGCCACTAATGAGCTCTCAGTTTCTTTGCTTCCCCCGTAACCCTCCTCACCTCAAGTCAATTAGTTCTTGCAAGAACACTGCTGTGGAAAAATAATAGTTTCCCATAAGTATAGTTATACAATATAATACATCTACCGAGGGGGGTTTATGTAGCCAGCTTGCATTGTAATCAAGTATCGAGGTTACATGGGGCGGGGGTGGTGATGGAATGGATAGAAAAAGAAGAAGAGTTTGGATTTCATATCCTGCCTTTCACTCCCCTTCAGGAGTCTCAAAGCGGCTAACATTCTCCTTTCCCTTCCTCCCCCACAACAAACACTCTGTGAGGTGAGTGGGGCTGAGAGACTTCAGAGAAGTGTGACTAGCCCAAGGTCACCCAGCAGCTGCATGTGGAGGAGTGGAGACGCGAACCCGGTTCCCCAGATTACGAGACTACCGCTCTTAACCACTACACCACACTGGCTCCAGGATATTCCTAGATCTCGGGAATATTCAGGACCCTGGGAGCCTAGATTCTTAACAGTTACAGGTGTACCTAATCCTTTCACCAGCCATCATTATCTTAGTCTTACCTAGATATGGAATGAAACGGCTTCCTCACACATCTATGCACCAACAAGAAACTATGTAAGGAGGAATAACTGTGAAGTGAGGGACTCCTTTCAAGGAAAGGTGGGTGTGGATGTCATCACCACTCTGATGGAAACCTATTCCACATCCCAAATATCGCTCCACATGAGGGTGATTGGAATGAGAGTTGGCACTGTGGGCAGAGAAGGAATCCTGAAGCTCAGGCTCTACAAGATGTGTATTCCCCCCTGCCGTCACATCCCCAGCTTTCTCCTTTCTCTGCAGATAATCATAGTGAGAGAAAAATGACTTCTTGTATGTCCTTTCCTTTATAAGAATTGTGTGGAAAGGGGGTTTGGGTGGGAAATGGATGTAAGGCAGCTGCGTGAGAAGGAGAGAGGCTGTACCTTTAAAGCAGTATCATACCACTTTAAACAGTCACAGAGCTATAGTTCGTAGAGTGGTTTCACAGGCAATCCCTCTTCCTAAGGAACTCTGAGAACTGTAGCTCTGTGGAGGGAATAGGGGTCTCCCCCATAACAACTCT